AGAGCGGTGTAGGAGTGGCCTCGATGGGAGTGATGATGCCAGAGTTGGTTATGGAATCAATCGTCCCCGTTGTTATGGCCGGTGTTTTGGGTATTTATGGGTTGATTATTGCTGTTATTATTAGCACTGGGATTAACCCGAGGGTCAAATCTTACTACCTTTTCGATGCTATGCTCATCTTTCCTCTGGTTGTGGCCTCACTGGTCTTTCTGCCGGCATGGCTATTGGAATCGTGGGCGATGCTGGTGTTAGGTATTGTCATCTAATTTGCTTGGAATCATTTGTTTTTGCTGTTTTGCATTTCAAATCTCTAGAACTGAAAGGTTGTTTGCACGAATCAAATTTCATTTGCTGCATAGATATTTTCGAAGCTGGTTATAGTAGTGAAAATGTGAATGTGTAATTACTGTGATTATGAGCTTCACTTCTCACATTCACAAATTCTGATAAAACTATAGTGGTAAACTTCTTGTCGAGTGCATTCAACCTTGGATCTGCTGGAATCTTACTTGGTTCACAAAATGTAATCTATTTCAATTCATGTAAGGTATGTGGAAGTTACAAAGATTAAAAGCTTCGAAAGAGAACATTTTTATTTTCTTTTAAAATCTTGCTGATGCTTCCAGAGAAGCTGAGAATTGTTGCTATTGAATATAGAATATAGATCCGTCATACTTTATTACAAAGCCTAGAATTTCTTGGCCTCGATGGGGTGATGAGGCCAGAGCTGGTTATGAAATCAATCGTCCCCGATGTTATGGCCGGTGTTTTGGGTATTTATGATTTGAATGATGTAGCGAATTTAAGGTTCCTATTTACGAATTTATATTTCTTCTTGATTTTTTATTTCATTTCTTTGATTTTGAATGTTCTGGCTGCTAATTCTGATTGCTTTAAATTTCCCCCTTGTTCATCATGATAATAATTCGTCTTCATGTTTTGATTGTTAGGCTTATATATTTTATAGATGCAAGCATGCCTGCATAGACCGTCATTTTTTTGTTATTCGTTGCACGTCTATGTTTGAGATTAGGAGTTTGTGATTTGATTTGTGATTCAACCATGATTAAATGATGCATCTCAATTGTGTAAATTCTAATCTAATTAGCAAAGTTCCCATAGAATTTGGATGTGACTCCCTATGATTAAAACCTTCATTTTCAACCTATTTTGATATTCAGGATCCTTGCTAGTATTTTTTTTTTTTGGAATTGTATATATGTGGTAAAGCCATAGGCTCATGGTTCCATCCTTAAATTTAGTTTCTTTTGAGTAGATATGAATCTCGTATTGAAATATGCTTGGTGGGTTTTGTTATGTAATGAAATTTTTACTCTTTTTTTATTTCTATAATAAATTATAAATTATGTTTATACATGTTTATAATTGAAGAGGAAGTGTGAAACTAATGCGAGAGTTAGAAGAAATGTCAAGTTAACTCCTAATCAAGGATCTCGGGCTTTTGTCGCTAGCCGATATGCTATGGTAAGTTGGACACTTTTGATATTTATTTTAAAGTTTATTTTTATTTTAAAGTCTAATTTTTATTTTTTTAAATCATATAGCGCAACGATGATGAAGAACCAAATAAGATGGATTTCTTCAAGGCAACTCATTATTCAAATGACAAAGGATGGACAACATCTGAGGCACAAGCAAAATATGTAAGACCTCACAAAATTAAGTATTAAATTGTAATTTTTCATCTAAGGATTATTTTATTTATGAATGACTTTTTTTAGGAGAAAATGGTGGAGTTGCAATCAACTCCAGTTGAAGGAGCAGAAAATATGTAAGCCTTGGAATCGCAACCGACTCAAGGTTTGGATTGAGATTGATACTACGAAATATTCCACAAGTCATATTATTATCATATTATTTTTATTTTCTATAAACATTTAAACATTTTTATATTTATATAAATGAAATTATTATGCTTTTATTGAAATTATTATGCTTTTATTGAAATATTTGTTTAAATCTTATTATTTTGCAATAAGTGAACTATTTTTTTATTTAGATTTGCTTAAATAATTTTATTTTAATATATATTGTCATTAAAAAAGTGAATATTAGTGACATTATATATGGTGACGTTATGCATAATCATCATTCATAATATTATTAAGTAACGATATATTCTGTCACTAAAAATGTGACAATATCTTTTTCGTCACATATAAGTTGATTTTAATGCATTATTTGTGATAATATAAACTATCAATAACGAAATCTTATTTAATTTAGTGACGTAAACAACTGTCATAGAATATAAATTATAAAGTGAGGTTATACATAAACATCATTCATAATATTATTAGGTAACATTTATATTATGTCAGTAAAAATTTGACAATATCTCTTTCGTCACATATAGGTTGATTTTAATGTATTATCCGTGACGATATAAATAATCAATAACGAAATTTTACATAATTTAGTGACATAATTAGTCGTCATTGAATATTAATTATATAGTGACGTTATATATAAATGTCATCCATGTTACTATTAGGTGACGATATACTACGTTACTAAAAATGTGACAAATTTCTTTTTGTCATGTATATAATGAAATTATTGTGTTATTGGTGACAATATGAGTTATTAATGACGAAAATGTACATCATTTGATGGCAAAAGTAATTGTCACTGAATGCAAATTAAATTGTGGCATTATCCATTAGCGTCACTATATGTTTAACAATACATGACGATAACACATACATCGTCACTTTTGACATTTAGTGACACACTTAGGGTGACGATCGTCGTGACATTGACTTTTACGTCATAAAATACATTTAGTGACATAAATTAAAGTTTTAGTGACAATAATCTAGATGTCACTAATAAGAAAATTTGTTGTAGTGATTACCATACCTTGACATTCTGAGCTGAGATAAGGGTTCCCTTCATAGCCATGTTTGCAACTGCAACGATAACTTGGACCACAGTTTGGATCATACTCAACACAGTCGCTGTTCATCCCTTCGCAAGCATATGTATCCTTACTTTTTTCTGCTTCCTCACAAGTCTCATTGCCTATAACCCAATCAAGAACCATGGAGGAATTTTCTATCTTCGATGTGGAACAACGATCAAGATCCGATTCCTCAAACGTGTAGCTCTCTTGGTCCGCAACGAAACCATATCCACAACCATTAGGCCTGGAGACGTGCGATTCGTTGAACATATTCATGATCGTCGAATCGTTAAGAAGGTTAAAAAAAGTTATACCGATTTTTTAACACCCTCATAAATAGAGGTCTGACAGCAGCCAAGCCCAGAGCAAGAGCCGTCAGTAACACCCTCGAGGTTGTTGCCGCACAGAGACAAGCAGCCTGTCGTGATGTTTTCATCTCCAAGGGATAACATACCTATGGAGTTGCAGCCTTTGACGGTCAACTTATTTAGAGCGTTGCTGAAAACGAACGGTGTATCGGTCAAGTTGATGATGGCTTCACTCAGAATTACACTTCCGTTTCGATGGAACCCTTTGGCACTGACCACAGGGCTCCTTACACGAACCTGATTGTGAGCAACGGATATGTCGACAACTTCGTATTGAGAAGCCCCGAAGTGTAGGAATGGTTTGGGTGGACTGTAGGAAGCATTGCAGGTTATTTTGAAGCCGTGCATGAAACATTCTTCTCCGATACCGAAAGGATAATCAATTGTGAAATTCCCACAGCTCCGTTGGCAGCCGGGCTTCGGGTCTCCTGCTGCCGATGATAAGAATAATGCCAAAACAACAATGGACCATGTTCGAAACCTGAGCAAAGGATGCTGAGATACAAACATTTTGTCCTAAGCAGGTAAATAAAGTTGGCGAGCGTTAGTTATTCTTATATAGTGCAAGGAAAGAATAACATCGGCGGAAAACGAAATTGATTAAGGGCGTATAGCCAAGTGAAACGAAAGTTCCGTCGGTCAGCGATGATAACATTTAAAATTGTATGTTCTATGTCCAGACAACATTTCCAAGAAACATCAACGTTACTAACCTCAACCATGTCAGTGTGTACATTATCCCTTTTATTTGCAACCCTTAAGAGTTATTGAATTACGCACCACTGGTATATTTTGGATTTTTCATTTTATCTTTTTAGAGTTGAAAATTTTATTCTTAAAATATTTACACCTAATAACTGTAATCATATATATTAAGTATATAAATATATTATAATATTTTAAATCTGGCTGATATCACCTTGTTTATATATATATTATGATATTTTATTTCTTAGGGTTGAAAATTTTATTTTTTAGGACAATATCACCTTGCTTATAACATAAGGTAAGGTGATTGTATAGAGCACCTGTCACGTTCGATGAAATGGAATCTGGCCATGTAACAATAAAAAAACAATGTATACACAATACTAATCAACAAATATAGTTTTGACCATAAAATAATACGTAAACTATGTTTGAATTTTTTAACCAAGAAAATTCTAAAAAACAAATCAAGTTTAACCATATTTTTAAACTCCCTTTGACAATTTCAATAATATAAAAGCTTAAAAAATACTTAAACTATACTTAAAATTTGACTTTAAGTGTCTAAAATTTTTTTGTAAAAATAAATATATAATGTTTTTTTCGTTATACTTTTAGGTACATACCGTTAAAAAACCGTTAAGTGACACATGTCACATTAAGATTTTTTATTTAAAAAATCTAAAAATATTTTTTTAAAATGAACATGACATGTGTCATGTGTCACTTAACAATTTTTTAACGGTATGACCTAAAATTCTTTAAATACCAAAAATCAGCTTTGAGTATAATTTAGGCACTCATTTTTATATTAAGCCTAATTTAAATATAAAAATATTTATATTAATTAACCGTACATTTTAATAATACAAGTTGAGATAAGTAATTATATATTAGATGTTTTTAAATTAAATATAAAAGTTTGAATAAAAATAAGATTTTTAAACTTTTTTATACAATTATTTTCGCTATACTTGGATTGAAGATTAGTACTTTTTATTCAACAATACAATAGTAACTGAATTACAAGGATATCAATGACAAAAGTTATCGTCGGCAAACTGATCAGAAGGACAGATTCCAGTTAGCTGGTAGTTCCTTCGTCAACCCTTGTTTCGGCATCAACCTTACCCTTACCCTTTTCGTCCTTAGCCTCTTTCGAGATTTTCCTAAATGCTTTTGGCCGATAACCGGCCAAAAGCAACTTCTCCACCTCCTCGAACTGCAACCCTTTGGTTTCGGGTACGAACCAAAAGATGCAAGTGAGTCCAATGACACAAAATAAGGCAAACATGAAGAAAGTGCCGGAGGAGCCGAGTGCTTTGGTGAGCGTCAAGAATATCTCGCTCACGATGAGATTCGACACCCAATTCGCAACTGCAGCCAATCCTCCTCCGAGACCTCTGTACCTTAATGGATATATCTCCGAGTTCACTATCCACGGGACCGTTCCCATCCCGGGGGAGTATGCTATGATGTACAATCCTAGGAATGCTACCGCTAAAAATCCGAATCGGCTCGGACAACCATCCTTGTACCAGGTACGACGTTTCTCGCGACATGAAGCCCTTAGATCATCATTCAATGCCAAGCATGCTCCGGAAGTATACTTCGAAAAGAAGGCAGAACGGATATGTCCAATGTCAGCGATTAATGAAATTATGTCAAATTTGAGGGACTAAAACTAAATTAAACCAAACAAATAATACTCACTTTGTTTACTCCATTAGCACAGAAACCACATTCAGCTCTCAAGCAAGACATGCAGTTCCATGATGTTGGGTTATTAGCATTGACAAAACTCAAACATGAAGAATTCAGGGCATAGTGTGTGGATTCGAATTGATCAATTTTCGGAGAATGCATGGCGGCTTGAGAGAAGATAATCGACAACGCCAAAAGACAAGCAATGATTCCGATCATCGAAAAAATCATCATCCTCCTCCTCCCATATCTGTCCACAAAGGTCATGCTGACAATAGAGCCGACAGCATTGAGACCGGAGGTTATGAGAGAAAGTGCCAATGCCGTCTTGTTTGAAGCGAATCCGGCGAACTGAACTATGCTGGGGCTATAATACATGACCGTGTTAATGCCGGAAAACTGCTGAGCCACTTGAACTGTCACACCGGCATAGAGTCCCCTTCGGACAACGACATTCTTAAAAGCACCCTTCAACTTTTGCCCTAGACTGTCCCCAATGGCATGCTCATTGGCCTTTTCGGCTTCTACTGAGACTTTCAAAGCATACAACTCGCCTTCAACTTCTTCAGCAGGATATATTCTTTCTAGAATGGACTTGGCCTCGTCTACCTTGTACTAAACATCAACACTTATTATTATTTGGTCCAAATCCGTTGCTAGTCCCTGTACTAATGTTTTTGCTCTTACAAAAGCTTTTACCTTTGTGTAAAGCCACCTAGGAGACTCCGGAAGTGACAACATTAACACAAACTGAACCGCAGCAGGGACTCCTGCTACTCCAAGCATCCAACGCCAGGTTCCTGTAACCTGAACGCGCAAAACGAAATATTAATTAATAATGCTATTAATATATTATATTTTAATTTTTCAGTTAAGTTAAAATTTAGAATTTCATCTCTTTACAATTACATTAAATTTTAGAACTTTATACAAGATCAAGTGAAATTTAAGTTGATCGTGTATAACAAACAACAATTAATAGTATTAATAATTTAGACTTAATAATAATAATATAAAATAAAATATTTTGATGCATAGACCGTATGAAATTTAGGCTCCACGATGTTATTTCCAGTATTTAGGGTTTAGGGATTTAGATATGGTAAGATTTAACCATTTTATGGTTTGGTATTTTAGGGTTTAAATTTTAAGGTTTGGGATTAAACTAAATAAAGTTTTGAGCAGAAGGATTAAAATTATAACTAGACCTATTATTATGAATACGGCTACGACGACATACATGAGTGAAAGCCAGATTGATACAGTAAGACAGAAACTGTCCTCCTGTGATTAGCAAACCATTGGTGCTAACAAGTGCACCTCGGATCCGAGCAGGTGAAGCTTCCGAAATATATAGAGGTGCGGTCATGGAAGCCATCCCTACACCGAAACCAACGAAGATTCTTCCGAGGATAATCATCCATGGTGCCGGTGCCAATGCCATCACTACTGCACCAACAAAGAACAGAACATCGGCTACCAAAATTGACATTCTTCTCCCGAACTTGTCGTTCATCCACCCTCCCAATCCGGCTCCAACGATAGCACCAGCTACAGCCATACTCACTATGGTTTCCTGACATATAATGTAATATTAATACAACCGACAATGCCCGATGATGTTACGCTTAGAGGGATCAGGTGGTCGGGTATTGTGTCACTTATTCTCGTATAATGATCAGACATTATTGTTTCTTCTTACCTGTAGCCATGTCTTCCTATCAACTTCACGAAAGTCCTCACGGATATAAAGTAGTGCACCAGAAATCACTCCTGTAATACAACATTTGTGGTTGATTTCAGGTTAATTTCACCATAAATCCCTGTGAGTTAATGCTGAAATTAACTGTACTAAATTAACAAAAGAACTCGATTGAAATGACAATTTAATTTTACGATTCGATCGGAAGCTTTTTGAAATTTAAGTAAAAAATTAATAGAATTTGTTAAATAGTTTAAGGAATGTCATGTGTAACCTGTGTCATAACCAAAGAGGAACCCTCCAATGCCAGCAGACAGTGCGAGCCTCATTATATAAGGTGTCTTCCATGTTGTCTTCCAGCACTCGGTAAACTGTGTCTTGCCTGGTTTTGAGATACCATGTTCCACCATTTTTCCTGACACAGCAAACTCAAAATCTTCCTTTGCTCAAAAGGGTTTCTTCAACAATTATCTATAATATAATCCAATCATAATCTAACTTCAAGTTCTAAAGCATCTGGAGAATTCAGTTTGTAAAATAAATTAAATCAAACAATCAGAAGAGAATTAGATGAGAATTTTTGTCCTAATTGAGAATTAAACATGCAAATTCACTCTTCTTTGGATGAAATAATAGAATTCAACCATTAAAAACAATGGGAGAGATGAAAAGCTAGCGTACAAAGTATTGGGATAAACTAAACAGCTGATAAGGATAAATCCCTAATTAATAATATAAAACCGGCTTTAGAAGACAAAGTCGCGTAAGAAACCTGATTTTCCGGGTGTTGAGTCCATGCTGTGGCTCCATTTGGTTTAGTTTTAAGAGTGTGTAACAGTGATGATATAATTAGTAAGCATATGTGCTTACACGTAAACATAGTTAGAAATATGAAAAGTCAGTGAGTTAAAGCGAAAAGAAAAAATATATATTAAAAATAGGGTAAAGTACATACGATACCGCTGAATTTTAAGGGTGCGTTTAGTTCACGGAATGTAAGATTACCAGTAAGAATAAAAGATTACCAGGGAATAGGATTACTAGGAATGTTGTATTTTGTGTCTGGTTGGTTTAGCAGGAATATAAGATTACCGTGTTTGGTTAAAGGAATAAAAGATTATTGGAATGTATATTTGACCAAATTCTCCTTGTTATATATTTGTATAATATTACAAATTGTAAAATATTTATATATTTTCTTTAAAAATTAAATTCATAATATTTATATAATTTTTTTTCAAAATTAAAAATATAAAAAAGGTTTAATGAAAGGGTAAAAATTGTTTTAACCCCTGAACTTCATATAAAATTTTAATTATAGACTTTTTTTTGTAAATCTAAAATAATTTAAGGATAAATTTGTAATTTAACCTTCGTAGAATTTTTATTATTTAATGACAGAAGAATGATACTTTTTAAAAAAAATAAAAAATTTAAGGTCATTTTAGTCCAAAATGCCGGTAATGTTACAATACCTAAGGGAAGGGAGGTAATGACATTCCCGGTAATATACCCTAAAAATCTACTATTGGTACTAAAATATTACCGGGAATGAGATTTCCGGCCAACCAAACATAGGAATGTGGGATTCTCATCCCATGGGTCCTTGAACCAAACACCCCCTAAGGGTATATAATTTATACCTCTGAATTTTCAATTACTCTAATTATAGTATTGAATTTTGATTTTAACTTCAATTATATCACTGACTGTTAAAATTCAAACGATGTGATGACATGGAGAAAACAATATTGTTTTGGTGTGACTATTGAAACCTAAAACGATATTGTTTTAGGCATTGAACTTTAAAAAATTATTCGAAGAAAGAAATTATGGATGTGTCGATTTTGTCACTATACTTTTAAGTGGTTCACTTTTAGACGCACATTTTTAGGTCGTAGTGGTAGTGAATTGTCAACCGGCATCCACTCGTCGCCATTCGCAGAAATATCAGTATCAAAACACTCTTTTCACTATTCTTTCTTCTCTTATGATTGATTTTCACGAAACTCGGTAAAAATCGAAGAATATTGAAATATTAAAACGTCGAATCTTTTCGTAGATTTTGAGTATATTTCATGAAAAAATCAATCTAATGAAAAGATATATGAATAAAATTTAAACAATTTAATATTAATTTAATCGCGAAGGGTGGATTTTGAGTATATTTCATAAAAAATCAATCCAATAAAAATATATATGAATAAAATTTAAACAATTTAATATTAATTTAATCGCGAATGATCATAGGTGATAGACTAGAAGAGACTAATAACGATAACAAACAAACAAAAATCAGTACGTAAAATTGAATTATTTTCAAAGGTCCGATTCTGAGTGGTCCAAACATAAAGAAGCGCCATAATGATGCAACGTACGTCTAAGATACCGAAAGTATTGGACTTATTGGCATCCCAAAATCTCTTTCAAACTGTTGGCAGTCTATTTACCAATGTGTATCACCATGGTCGTCCTATATATACATTTAAAGCTTACTGTTGATGTATAACCATACAATGCAGAGAAAACAAGTGTTTTGGCACTGATTATAGTGTTTAAAGGGAGCAGAAAAGTCAAGAAAGACAATGAATGGTGGTCCAGTGAGGAGGCAAACTATGGAATATAACCACATGGAAAGGTGGCCAAGGTTTCTGGTCTCAGCTCAAGTATCGGTGCATAGGCAAAAATAAAACTGGCAATGGCAGCTGACACGTACTTTTTGACATCGACAATGGCATTGGCGTTGCCGTTTCATTACTGCAACTGCAACTGCAACGCCATTTCAACGAGGTTGGCAAATGCTGCAGCCCACGAGAGCCTCTTGTTTTGTGTAGCTTAGCTGGTGCTGCTGCAAAATTTATATAGTCAAGGGCGTATGGCCCTACAATTTATGGATTTAATTAACATGTCATGTCAACAGCTACTCAAAGTTTCACGTACCTAATGAACATCCCCTAGAGTAGGGCTGGTATAGGCCTTCACTCCCAACATTCCTGTTCCATTTCAACTATAGTTTCAGAATACAGTTCTCCCACAGTATAACTATCTTTCCATTGGCATTGGAAATCAAATGTTTCTGTAAATCATTGATGTGTCTCGCCCGCTTCTCGTACTTGTTCTCTCTTTGTCCTAATATTTATGTGCTTTATATATACTTTATATCATTAACACTTAATTCATATTAGATTTATATATTTGATTTTAATTTACACCCACACTTCTAATACATTTTTTAATCAATATTTTTTGGTGTGTGGTAATTATATGAATTTTAATTAGGTATAAAGTTAAGTAGAGTTTAACCTAATTCGGGATTAAAGTTTTTCCATTTAGCATTCACAAGATTAAAACTCAAGTTTGACTTAATTATGATACTTTAATTTATTAAATTATTCAATTAACTTCAATTATAATGAGGACTAAATTGATAAAAAAATATTGATGATTTATTGAATTATTTTAAATTATGATTAAATTTATAGAATGTATAAGTTTAAGCCAAAATTGTTATTATATCAATCCATCTCATCATCTTCATTATGTTTTTAGTGATTGATAACTAAAATAGAAAAGAGACCATTTAGCAGTAGTTTGATAAATATAATGATCATTTTGTAACATTTAAAATTTTTCAAATCTGTATATAATCAATTACGAGTTTTTCACACATACAAAATCGGTGACCAAAATAAAAAATGTTATTATTGATAGAGATCATATTATAATAGTTGACAGGTTTAATGATTATTTTAAAATATTTAAATATTTTCAAATCAAAAAATCATTTTTACGTAGTGACTTCTTATGTATTTCATCTTATATAAAATTGTAGATGAATGAGCAACTGTCGAGTTGAGTTTTCTACTCACTTGAACTCGACCTAAATGTTATAGTCATTATTTGATCCAATGTGATTCGAATTAAAGAGGACCTACTTAACCAAAACTGAGTCAGGTTGGATCTTTTGTTTTTTCTCAGTATTATAAGGTTTATACATTCTTATTTTTGTTTAGTATTATAGGTACTTAATTGAAAAAAATAAAATTACAACTATCCACAAATCTGTATATAATAGTGCATTTTTAAAAATTGACTCAACCTAATTCAAATTCAAATATTTTTAAATAGAAACTCCACTCTATAAAATCGAGTAGGATGAAAACTCTCCCTTGACATAATCCTAGGTAGAAAAAGAAGGCCCAAAAATGGGCCCAGTAAATTATAGAGGATAGCTATACCGGTAGGCAGAGTAAATGCAAGAACGAAAAATCTGGCTGGCTCTGGCCTCCGACTCGCTACTCAGCCTGAAGCCTGAACCTGAGCTTCATCCTCTTATCACCTCCTTGCAAAATATTACGGGTGTAAACGAGTTGAGATCGACTCGATTCGAAAATTCTTAAATAAAATTTGATTCGATTCGAGAACTTATAAGTTTAAAATTTTTAAATTCGACTCGAACTCAAATCTTGAACTGAAACTCGTGAGCTGTTCGAAAAGGCTCAAAATGAAAAAAAAATAAAACTTAACTCGATTTAAACCTCAAATTCAAACTCGAACATGAACTTTAAATACATGAAATCTTACTGTATTTTTAAAAAAAATCAATACATAAATATTAATATTATTAATAATTTATTTTTTTTTAAATAAAATCTTAATATATTATATTTTTGAGCTACTCACGAGTTTTTCGAGTCGAATATCAAGTAACTCGTTTCTGCTCGTTAAAAATTTGAGTCGAGTTCGAACTCGAATTCTTTCGATCCGAGTATTTATAGAGTGTTAATTGAATCGATTTATAGTAGCTCGTCTCATTTACCGCCATACTTGCAATTTGCCTCTAACCCTCATTTTTGTTCCTCCACTTGATCAAACGAACAGAAACATTAAAATCAGTTGATTTTGTTGTTCTCTCAGCCCATTCGCCGTTACCTGATCATTGCATTTCCCCCCCCACATCAGATCCTTTCCTAACGCTTACCATTTTAGCCATTTCATCGTCGTCCACAGACGAAAGAAAGGCTGCTCTACTTTCAGCTTTACAATTCGTTGTACAGTTGGTGAGTACAATGAAAACGCGACCTATCTCTTAAATCTTATAGCGTATTCATTGTTTTTTTTATATATATTTTATAATTTGGTGCGGCAACAATGGATTTGATTTATCGTAATTGATACTAGTTAGGGTTTCATTTCATTCGGGATCATTTGTAAATGTCGATTCTCAGTCACATTTTTTGTGTTGCCGTCGTTTCAATTATTTGTCTGCTTTTGCTAATATTTGTTTCGTTAATAGCTTAGAGTTTTAGTGATTCGATATTGGATGCTTATTTTATTATCGTTTCGACCATCTAATGCCTAAAGTTGTTTGGGGGGTGGGGTTTAACTGACAATAAGTTTTAATTTTTGATTAAGAAAAGTTTTTGTTACTCTGCATGTGAATTCCTTTGGCCACATGAGAGACTTAGCTGGTGCTGTTAGGTACTTAAACTTGTTTAGGTCAACTGCAAATTATATATTC